GAGAAAGATGTTTGTGACTTATCTCAAAGGAACATGCTTAGTTTTGGGTCTATGGTTGACTGAAATATTTAATTAATCTGTTACTCAGCAAACCACAACTTGATTTTACCGAGTTTTTAATCGCCTAAATATATCATTGGACAAAATCATGCGTGCAATTATCTCTTAGATGACTCATAAACGTCACTGGAGGATGATGTTAAGCTATGCAGAAATGACAACTTACACAGCGTCAAGACTAGTTTACTCCTTTGGTATCCAGGATTAGTTCGTAGTTGTTGACTTAGTTAAATTACATCGATAGTGTCATGTCCATCACAGATGTTTTGGAAACTTTTGTGGGATCTATTAGTGCGATTCAGTGTGATTATGGCTATGTGATTTTAATGTTACTACCATCTTTTGTTTATATTTAGAGCCATCTACTAATTTTAATGTCTCAATGCGTAATTTAAATGCCTCCATGCCTATCTTTTCCTTGAACCAGGATGGTGATCACTTGCATATCCCTTCGAGGAGATTTCTGAGGTGGATGAAAGGAATATATTTGGTTTCAGGTTATTGTTGAGCCTTCTCGGAGAAAAAGGGGAAAACGTTGAAGAGCCAGAGAAGTGTGAGACGGGGATTAATTTGTTCATGAGGTATGTCTTGAGTATGAACCAAATGTGGTTCAGTCAAGCAGCCCCAAATGAGACTGAAAGTTTGTAAATGATGTTTTATTGGGATGGGCTGTAGGAGTACCTTAAATGTCAATCAAAGAAAAATATGGACACCTAGACTTTTCCGGAACAATGGTTGTATTATGACTAAACACATGGAAGGTCAGGAAATGAAAGCAAACCAATTAGCGTTGCTGTGTGCAGTTAAAGATTTCTTATTATCCTTAATATAATCAGGGTAATCTGATTTTGAAAGCGATTATATTGCAGCATTACAGATATGATCAGATTTATAACTCGAGTGCGAGTATGAGGAGAATATTTTCTTGACACTTTTCGCCTCAGGCTGAAGTATGGGCACAAACTAAACTCTTCAAATGGCGACGACGACGGAGAAGGAACTAAGAGTTTGTTAATTAGAAAAAAAAGAAAAAATAACGATAAAAAAGACAATCAACAAGTAACGCCAATTTTGTTTGTATTCTTCAAATGGAAACAAACCTTATACCAAAAAGGGACACTATTTGTCATTATAACGTAGCGGGCGCGCAAGTTCTACCTGTTTCCTAAGGAGCTGCCATGGTAAAAATCCTTATGTACCGCACGGCCGTGCATCATGCAATTTCACTTCGATTGAAGGTTCCGTCGAGTTAAGCCGAGAGATTTCAAAACTTTCCAATTTTTTTCCGATGTATCCTGATTGGGATAGACCTTTTGGAGCTCAAAACGGAAAGAGTATATGTTAAATAATGCTCGTGTCGAAAAGCAATTAGCATAAAGCTCTTTCAAGCGACGATATGAATTAGAGCTAAAAACAAAACTGAGCTTTCTGGCTTCAATTGACGCTTTACGACGTCGGTAAAGTCTATATGAGAACGGTGATTATTATTTTGAAGTGTTGGTATGTCCCAAAAGTGTTTCGCAATGGTAGATTTTGTTTTGAAATCAAGTTGTACAATTTCGGAATTTTCTATACAAGGCTACGCAATTTTCTGGTTTTAAATTCAAGCAGGGTAAATCTACCACACGGGTCTCGTAAATGCAAGAAATTAATAAGTTTTTCGATTCGTTTTTCTAACGGTTGATATTATTTTAAGTGTTAATATTTCCTAAAAGTACCGTTCAATAGAGAATTTTTAATTTCAAAACCATACAATTTCAGAATATTCAAATTTTTTGACACAAACTGCAATGTCGCGCCTCGAGCAACTCTAACGCTTCCCTCGTGCTCTCTAAACGTCCTTCATGCATCCATAACTCACTATACGCACGCTAAGTATGGACCAATTCTTTAATAAAAATAACATAAAAAAAGGGTCTAGAAGGTCAATCTCTGAGCAGTTGAGAGTTACGAGAGGAGTTAGTTATTTTACCGATAAGGAAGTAAGAAAGTTACTGTTTGAGTTGATTCGTTAGGTCACATCCATTGTTGTTTTGGACTGGAAAAACCTTCTCTTTCCTTTTGCCTACGAGAAATCTGGGAAGAGGTTGACGAGTCTCACGAGGAAGTGAAGTGTCTTTTTCACAGCACATTGACAACAAGGGAAAAAACGTTAAACAAGGTGCTTATTTGATCAGCCAAGGTAATGCAGAGGAAAATTGACTAATTTAAAGGCAGTGACAAACGACATTATGCATAGAAAGAAAATAATAAGCGAAAAGAAAGTGGATGCAATGAAAAAGTTCCGAACCAGGCCATGGCTAAAATAACGATTAAATTAAAATCTAATTGCAAAAGTCACACAAGATTTCGGCTCCCAATGGGTCTGGGATTGACCGAGCATACAACCCTTAAGAGTAGGCTTTGAAATACCATTTTCTGTTTGTTGTACCCAAGTCTATGTCCTATGTAGAATGGGACGTTACAATTGGCTTTGCATCGAAAACAAACGGAACTCGTTCGCCGAAACATGCTGGATTAACCAAATTCCCTGATACCTTCAACTGTTTTTCTTGCCATCCCTAGGCAGACTTGAATAAACCTCAGAATAAGCGCGAGATAACAGTGGTCGTAACACTAATTTGTCTGCTGACGTAAGACATAATTAGTCTAATTTCAGATCACTCTAAATGTTGTGCAAGCTCCTTGTTCCGAAAATTATCAGTTGACGTGAACCTGTAACTATGGAAAGATAAATGTTTTACGAACTGACATCCGACGGACGCACCTGAACACCTGTCATTGATATTGGAGACTTTTTTCAAAAACCCTTTTTAGTCAGTTGGTCACCTGGCTGCACAAAAGACAATCGATCGATGCGATGGTTCCTTTGAAAGTTTTAAAGTCGATATTTAAGTATAGTTCATCGACTGGTTCGAGATCGCAAAATGCTATCATCCAACTAGGAGGAACTGATGGATATGTAACAGGAATCGTTATTTTCATTATTGGAGTTGTTTTCATTCTGATTATATGTATATACCTGCTTACTTTCCGCACAGAGAAGCAAAACAGAACATCTGCCACGCGACGGTTCCCAGTTTTTATCAGTGATGGTGAAAAGAGACCAATCAAATGTCGAAAATTGAGGAAATCATCGAGTAAATTGCGTTTAACCAAATCACACAAGTTGCTGGAAGTCAACAGAAAATGGTCAGCAATGTACAGCTCGGAAAACTCAGAGGGTGAAGAAGCTGAAGTCACTGGAACATTTCCTTTTGGGCGTTTATCAGTCAAAAGAGAGAGAAAGGTCAGCTTTAGAGACAGCTTACAGGATGTGTATTATATTGAGAGTAAGGAAGAAGTGAAGAGACTTGAAAAACTAAACAACATGGGTTATAACGTCGCTATCACAAGGCCATTATGTTCCGCGCACCATCATTCGAGTAACATAACTCTTAAAAATGTGGTCTGCGAAGAGAAACAAACGGTTTCGTACCCAGTCATATGTTCAACCATAACCGATAATTATATCTTCAAAAGAAAGTTTGATAATCCCAAAAGTTTAGAGGAAAGTTGCCAGAAAGCTACAGAATTCGAAACCAAGGATAACATGCTACTTAGCAACAAGAAGAGCGTGATCAGCAACCAGGTTTTAAAAGATGAAGGACGATTCCAATTGACACCCTTGTTACCCGAGAGTTAACAAGGGCAAGACATCTTCACTGTTTCCAAGAACTCCGTGAAATTCCATTCAAAGAATGTAGACTCTCATTCCAACTTCTACAGTACTTGAAGTAAAGGGGAATATCACTTATGTGTGACAGATTTTCCACGAAACATTTACATTTAAATTCAATTTGATTTCAAAGGCGGGATTTTCATGAACAATATTTCAGGAGCCTGAGACAAAGGCTAGCCTCATCTTCAAAGAGAGGCAGAATAGAAGCCAAGGAAAATTATTAGAATTCCGTACGCGTAAACCAGTTATTTACTTGTTTTTAGGTAATCAGCCGTGAGTTTTGCTGTATATTAACTGAAATTTTGCATCAAAAGATTCTATCCAAGGGTATTTTCTGATACTACTGCTTATGAACATTATCTCCGCAACAAATGAAAAAAAAAAAAGAACGCAAATGCATCATACAACAAAGGGTTAATAAGTTTCTTCAAACGTCATGATAGAAACAAATGAACAAAGATGATGGTCTTCTTCTTCCAAGCTCAAGCTTCTTCGGCTTACAAGGTAACTAAGCGCTTCAGGTGATCTCTGAGAAACGATTACAGTGATGATTTCAAAACCAATTACTTTGCAATGAACTGAATTTTGAAAAAAGAAAAATAAAAGCAGTCAGCCTCTGGAGCGGTTACTTTTCCAGCTCTCACAGGTTAGATTGAAGGAATTCCCTCCCCTTACCTCAGGCGTAATAGGTCCTCAAATAATCTATAGTAAATGAGAACCTTGGATTAGAAAAACTGGACTCCGTCTACAGACGAAAAGTGGGCGCTTGAAGCGGGGTTAGGGCCCGAAAAACGTATCAGAGGCTGGCTTAGACTGAGCCAATTATGCCCTCTTCGCTGATATAGACAATATTCTTTCTTGAAATACGAACTGATTTCTTGAGTCGCGAATTTTTTCTTCTTTTGACACGAAAAGCTGTCTGGGTTTGGACGCGAGAAGTCTAGGTACAACACTACCCAATGCTCAACATCATGTGATGTCATAGAATAAGAAGTCTCCTGGGACCACTGGAGTGGAACCACTTTTCACGTGTTCATCATTCATTCTCCGGTCTGTATGCACTTTGGAAGGAAACTCTCACCTTAGGATTTGCTTTCACAGACTTTGGGCAAAATACGAAAGTCCACATCCTGCTTCTTTTGTCCCATGTCAGATAGGAGGGATTTTGTGTAAATCGCCAATTTTTTTTTCACAGGAAGTTGCTCACCCTACCCTACCCCCCGAAGAAACCTGTTAAGCCAAAGATCTTCATTGAACGAAGTTGGTTTGTGTCAAAGAAATGCAACTGACGCATTGACGTACATGTCTAAAATTCGCGTCTTTCAGTGGAATTGCAGGTCGGAAATGTACAAAGAGTGGAAGCCTAAGAATTCAGCGTAAAGAATGAACTATTTAGGTCGTTTTGTGTCGAACGTTCGAGGATTTTACAACGAGATAAACTCGGCCACTCTTACTGGAGCTATCGATGTTGTAGTGGTACGACAGGAAGATGGGTCTTACATTGGTTCGCCGTTCCACGTTAGATTTGGAAAACTTGGCGTACTCCGAAGTCGAGAAAAGATCGTAAGTATAATTGTTTCTTTTGTATTCTGTAGCTTCGTAAACCTTCGCAAGTTCTACCATAGATTTTCTATGATAATCTTCGGAGTGCCACATTCTTCATATTATATAACCTTACTCAGCGAAACATCGCTGACAAAACTGAAAACAGAAATGGGAATGAATCGCCCTGATTTTTGAACAAATATCGCCTTCAAAGGTTGTATTAGCGCAAATGGTTTAATTGATGTAATTTTCTCCGACAAAATTTGGATTCTCAAACCCAGTAGGAAAAAATACGTGATTTAGAATAAATGAGTTTTTCTGTCTCACGTCGCGTCACTCTCTTAATTTGTTTCTGTTCTCAAAACCACCGTAAATTTGGCAAACATTTTCTTCGTTAGTGGCAAAGGCGGTATGTTCTAATATTTGTAGAGCCTTATTAAATTTCTAACATTGTAGAATACGCTCTAAATTGAAAAATAGATTTCAGTGTGTAGCGCTAGCATTCTGGACAAGTAATGAATGCATCTTGAACCTAGAGTTATTATCAACGTGCGGTGAAAGTTTATTAGGCGTTTTCCAGGGGCTGAATTCGTTCCTTTCTCTCTGTAACTGAATTTTTTTGCCTTTAGCACTTGTACAAAGAAAGAGCATTGAGAGTATTTAAAAAGAACACCTAACGCAAGTGTAACACAAGATTACATACAGAAAGTTTGCAGCGTGCTGAAACTCGCGATTTCATGAGATTTGGTGCCATGAAGCAGTTGTTGTATAACCTTGCAATATTCACCGTCTAATCTCCCTTTCTAAACTCCTACTTGTTTGTTATTGTTTGTTCTTCAATCCCATTGGCCCACAAAATGGCACTACCACATACACACCCCCAAAGGAGATAATTACAATTAAGAATATAATGTTTTGATAGCCTTCAGTTGGCATAGGAACTCTTCAAGACATGCAAATTCAGAAGAGAAGGTGGTTACTACATTCAAGGGGCTGAAATGGGTTCAGTTCCTTTTAGGCAACAACAGCCTTTATCTTTTGTGTGTTCCCCTGTTTATGAATTTTTTGTAAACAGTGGGAAACCAAACAAACATGAAAAAATCAAATATGCATATGAAGGTTTTTGTGGTTAAAAGGGGTTGGCCTTGGTACCCTACCAGTTATTTTGCAGCAAAGATACTTGTCATTTTATTTAGAATATTTACATTTTTCAGTATATAGATAACCTTGGAATGATTTGTAAGGGAATTTTTTTTACCTTCTTTGCATGGAAAATTTACCACCTGAGACTGGAAAAACAAAAGCAAAATGTTTCTGTTCTTAGTAAAATTGGCATTGTTCAGAGGGGGGGAGGAGGGGTTGTCAGGCTTATTGAGCAGATGCCACACGTACACACTATTGCACTGAGTATCATGCAGAGTTCCAAGCTTGAATTGTTTTGCTGACTTTGGTGGGCATGTTAGATTTTTCAATAAAGATTTACCAATTGGAAACTACTATGGGTGATTGGATGCTCTGTGTTTTGTTGCTGTGTGCTATGCTTTGATGTTTTTATTTTTGATATAACTTTTTTGTTCTATTTATGAGTGAAAGTTAAATTTAGATTAAGTATTGCAAGAGTTATGATTAAGCCTAAGGCTGTTGGTCTGTTGCTTGCACCACCAAATACAACTGTTATTGTTATGTAACAGTTTTCCAAATTTTAAAGACAATTGTCTCATCAGTGGTATAAATCATTATTGCTTTCTGGTAACCATTCAATGATGTAAGGGCATTAACTTGCAAAAATTTGTGTATGGAGAAAATTCCATTAATTCTTTGCATTGATTTATGAATTACTGGCTTAATTTAATGTATATCCATCTATTGTATCTGGAACCTTATCGTAATAAATCAATTTGATTATTTGTTTATTAAAGTAGTCCATATGGTTACCCAATAAGTATATTAAAGAGTAAGTAATTGATTATGCTACAGGTTGATATAGAAATCAATGGAGAACCAGTGTCACTACAGATGAAACTTGGTGATGCAGGAGAGGCATTTTTCGTTGAAGAAGTAGATAATGACCCCTCAGAATTTGGTACATCCCCTGTACCATCTCCTGAGACACTTGATGATGCCAAGAAGGAGGATATTACATCTCAAGAGGTGCTTTTTAATCTTAAGGTTTTTTCTGTTTTGTTTTTTTTTGTTGTTGTTTTTTTTTAATGAGATCTTCCAAAAGAATGATCTACAGAATGAATGAATGTTCTTAAAAGGGGTTATGAATGTATCTGTATTGTTTTTTTTCTTTTTTTTTTAATGTCTATCCTTGTTTACAAGGTTAATTTCTTTGGCCTCTCCCTGTCTCCTCTAGTATGGTACTATTTACTGTACTCCACTATACAGGTCCTGTAGTGGTAGGTTAATGTAAAGGTGTTCATGTTATGTCAAAGGATTGATCTATAGTATATGATGTATTGGTAGCATTAAGTTGAAGTAGCTTTTAATTTTGATCTTTGCCCATCCTCTCTGATGCAGCTCTATAAAGGTCCTATTTTAGGGAACTGGGAATACAGGATTTAATTTTAAACACTAATATCAATGAATTACTTGTAAATGACTGTTTGATTGGCATATCAGTTATGAAGGCTAGCCCAGTAGTTATTGCCATTGATATAGACATTGACACATTCTTAGACGTAACCTGGAATCAAGAAATTTCCTTTACCAGCCTTAGAAGTAAATGTTACAAGACATTCAGTTGGGAGAGAAGCTTGCAATGAGCCATTTCAATCCATTTTTGTTTATCTTTCAGGAAATTATTAGCAACACAAGCATCAGTACTAAAAACAGTGCAACTAAGCTAGCTGAAAACCCTCAAGAGAATGTTGTTGACATGTCTGTCACAGAGGAAGTACCTGCAAAATCTGTTTACCAAAGAGTACAAGCCCTCAAGGGTGAAGTGGTTTCTGATATTGGTTCAGATGATAAAATTTCAGATAGTAGTGTAGAGGAAGATAGTAAAGCCAAAGAAGAAACTCCCAGTGATTCAGAAACTGGGGAGTGTAAAGAATCAAACAAAGAAGTTACAGATAGAAGAATAGTTTCTCCTGTAGAAAATAATGCAGAGTCTGACACTAATGTGGAGGTAAGACTATGAAATGACTGACATTATGTAGCTTTTGTAGTTTTGTTGTCGTTACCATGTTTGGATCCCAATTGCATAGCCTGGATGTGAAACTGTATAACACCACTTCAACAGCAGTTGGCTTGTGTCAGGAAATAACACAATAGTGCAAATAGTTTCCAACTAGGTGCCTTGCTGGAGTAAATCCTTAAACAGTGAAAAAGGTCCTGACCAATCCTGAGACAATAAAAAGGTAAAGTCAGCTTACCATCTGACAGTTCAGCGATACCCATTTATACTCCTGAGTGGAGAGAGGATATGAGACACTAAGAGAAAAGTATCTTGTGCAGAAGATCTGTATATACAGGATGGGTCCATTGTCTAACAAGTGTGCAATTATTTGACTTATTACAGGCTGTGGTAAGAAACATAACTTCTAAGTCAGACAGTATTCCTATACCAGTGCGACAGAAAGCAGATCCACAAGATATATCATCTGATAGTGAAATCATGGTAATATATGAAATGATAATTTACTGATAAAAATAGCGTTAATGATTGAGTTTCCTTTGATCATATGAGATAAAATCCCAAATGGGCCTGGCCAAATGTGCTCCGCATTAGAAGAAAATGTAAATTTAATGATTGAATCTTTCTTGTGCACTGAGGACGATGGAAATGAAATGTTAAAGACATGAACATAAATTAAGGAAGACAGGTAGATAGTAATTCATAACTGCAAATTATTCTCAACTGTTTGTTGTTCTATAGATTTAAAACCTGATGATTATTTGAACAATTACAAATTCTCACCTTGGAACTTACCCTATGAGACTATGAGTGACTGTTCAAAGCAGCACTTTTAAGCTTATATTCAATATTAGCTTACAATTGCTGTTGCTGAGCATAGCTCTATAGATCACTGACAAAGACAGTTTACTTGACGAATTGATTTCCACCTCAATATTCAGTTCAGTTCAGGCAGGTATCTGCCATTACTGACAATGCTAAGTGGCATCATCTATCTAGCTTGAGCCTGTCAGAGATGACAGCTCTTGAGTTTCTCCAAGTTCATCTGTTCATCTATGTTTCTTCTTCTGTGAATATTGACTTGCCACTGATCATGGTGTTTTGGTTCTCTGTCCAGCACACATGATTCATATCAAAGCCCACTAGGACTTTGATAACCATAACAATATTGAATATGTTTTTTCCCATTAATATGTGATCATTTTGATTTTTTTTAACTCTCCACATTATTTTCTGTAAGGATTAATACATGTTCTCACTTATCATGTCATTTTTGATCTGCAGTAGAGGAAAAGTAGCACCTCAATTTGCAGAGGGCAAATTTAAAGCACAAATTGTAGGATAAATTGATCATCAATAGTACTTCATATAGTCAGTGCCTATAGGTAATAGCTTTAATGTGCATTTTTATTTTATATAGTGGGCAGGATCACACTCACCCTCCATTCCAAGTGGTTTTAAAAGAGACTTTTACCCACTTTCTGACCTGGACTCACCTATTGGCTCTCCACCTAGTCATAGGTAACTGTTTTAATGTTATGTTATTGAACAAATTCCAGCAGATTATTTCCTCTTCGTATTTTGTCACACATGTACTGGTGCATGCTCCCTTGATATTTCATTCATTGATCTAACTCCTCTGATTTTTCCTTTATTTTATAACCTGCCAGCAACAAAGATAATTTTTCTCTGCTTGGAGAAAGTAGATAAAATCCATTTTTGCTCAAGGTTCTTTTTATTTAGTGACTTACTGACAAATTTTAGTTGTTGATGATTTAGAGGCTTGTGATGGTCCTTTCTAGCTCCAGAAGAAAAGTTTTGTTTAGAGTTAAATTCTCCCAGAAGGAAACCTGAAGCCTCGAGAAAATGTTGGTGAGCTTGTTGATCATAATGGACTTAATTTCTTTTGAAGAGACGAGCTAGTTAGCAGTGCTCCAAATCCTCAGCATTATATGAGTGATTCTGAGCTGGAGTTACATCAAAGCCAAGAGAATATAGCAAGAGAGAATCAGATCAGATGGGCTTGGGGAAAGCTTCCACAGGTATTCGTCGCTTGAAGTTTTTGATATTACTTGTAGTTCTTGTCTGCATCTGCATGCCTTCACCAAGTGGATCAAGTTTTTCATGTACATGTACATGTATATTGTCCTGTATATTGTCCTGAAGTATTACAAGCCCAATTTGAAGTCCTGGACTTGTAGTAGCAAAATTCCTTATCCATCTGCATTTGGAAACAGTATTGCTGTAAGTTTGAATTAGATGGGTTGTGCTAAGCAAAGCTCATTCAACTTTCAAAGGCATGAAACAAGCTGAAACAAGCAAGAATGTTGCAAAGAGTTTTTCAGGACTTGCATTCCATTGATTTACTGCAGCCAGTTTCCATTGGGAAGTTTTAAGATTAGTATGATTATTTTTGCCAGAACAAGTTTTCGTGTGAAGTGAAAATGAGATGTTTTTCTCTGAAAGTTGCCAGTTGAGTAAGTAAGTAAGTAAGTAAGTAAGTAAGCAAATTGATCTAAAAGATATCTTTTAAGATTTCTGACTTTTCAGTCAATAATTGTGTGGAATTTTGACCTTAGGGTCCAGATGGACGATCACTGCCTGACAGGAAATCTTCAGGTCTGCAGAAAATAATTGATGCAAAAAGAACTTTGTAGCACTTGTTATGATAGACACTTTTAGGGTTTTGTTCTATTAGATGGGACTAGACTTAACTCTTGAGTCTGTAATATCAGTTTGTGTATTCTCCATACTGTTCTGTTTAAATTTCCATTGGTATTGACCTGGGGAATTTGTCTAACAATTAAGAGCTTCTTAAGGGGGTGATCATTTCCTTTATTCTTGTGACTTAAGTGTTTGATTCAGCAGTAATACTTTCAGGAGAAATTAGATGCTATTAAACCTTAGATGTTAAAGGGTTTATTGAAATTTGGCACAGCTGAGTATTGGGTATTTTGTAGATCAGAGCCATTTGTAATCTGTTTGAAGATGCAAAAATAAGACTTTTTTTACCCCAAAGTAATCTCTGAATTACTTTCTGAACAGATTTAAGGAAAGAAGACATTAAACATGTCCACAAAGCAAAGAGGAGAGAAGGATCATTCAAATCACACAGCAAGGTGTAGTTTATTAATCAAGTGTAATGTTTGAATGAAGCTGTAGTTAAAGTATGTAATTACATCTTTTAAGTTCTATCTATGAAGGTTTTGCCCTTGTACAGTAGTTGCATACTGATTCTAAAAGCCCCTAAAGCATGTTTAATTTAATGATGCTCCCTGAAATACAAAGGAAATTGAGCAAAGAATGCTGAATGCATAAACATAACTATTTCTTGTGCTGTTATCATGTAATCATGTGTCACAGATAAAACTTCAGCATATATTAACAGTCACTGTAAGTGAATATTATCATTGCTAGAGAAAGGCTGATAGAACTGTGAGATTAGTATGTAAGTAACAAGAATTTTTAAATCCTTAGTCATCTGTCATACTGATATTTTCCATGCTGTGCTCAGGATTAGTGTTTAACTTACTTTGTAGTAATTCTCTGTTTGATTGCCATGTCATATTTAAAGTGAACTTTTCAACAGGTTGGTGGCAAGGAAGGAATTCTCCTGGATGATCTCAGGACTGTAGACTATGAAGTAGCAGCTCTGTACCTACATCAGGCCTTGTAAGGGTTCACTTTGACACCATTTTTTCATAACATTAAATTACCAGTAAAAAAAATTAGTGGAAATGTAATTTAAGAGCTCTTGCAGTAGTGCGCTCAGTCCATTGTCAAGTTCTGAATTGACACTTCAATTTATGATTACAGTGGAGTTTTTGTATTGTGTTCATTTGCAAGAGAATCAGTTGACTCTCACATTTCGACCCTCCAACATACAAACTTGACAGAACTCATGGAAAATCTTGTAACATTTAGGAACATCTCATCTAGGAGAGTACCAATTACTACAGTATGGCACATATGCACTGCAGCACCACATCTGTCTCAAGTGTACACACTCTTTTGAATTAAAGAAAAATTGTGTTCACAAAACATTTCCAAAACTGATTGTAAATTGGCTGTTCAGTACTCTAAATCAAGCAATTAGAACTCATTAAGGGGCTTCAAGACAAAAGTTCTTACAGTGAAACAAGAAAGACTGTGTATTGGGCATTGCACTAGAAGTATTTTATAATTTTACCAATGTTAATGGTAGATCAGCCGAGCAAAATATTTGAGCTCCAGAGAGGAAGATGTCACTGTAACATCTTTCTTGAATTTACAGAGACTCTAAACTACAACAACAACAACAACACAGTGGCTCAGGATCTGAAGACAGGGAGTCTGGTATAGGACAGTCATTGCCAAGTTCACCCATAGCTGGGGAAGGACCAAAGGAAACAACGTAATTATTACTATAACTCAGTACTTTCTGGCTGTAAAATTGCATTCTTGTTTTTGTTTTATGTCCCAACCTTTTGCCTCTAATACATTGATTCATAATTTTCCCATCTTGGTGCTTTAGTCTTCCTTGTAAATTATTGGGGGAATTTGGTGTTATATCAACATCCTTTATGTGAGGGGCTTATCTTTGATCCAGACTTCATTTATTCCTAGTAATTTTTATTAGTGAAATAGCATCTTAAATGATAACATGAATCTCATTACTCTTTTCCTCAAACTATGAAATTTTCCTCAATAGAGAGGAATATCATGACATTGCCATGTCACTGTGTGGAGAGTTAAGAAATGGTAAAGTATCACTTGGTAAGTTGAAAAATAAAGAATGAAATGAGTGCCAGTATTGACAGCATTGAAATATTCTGAATGTGGTGTACATGTTTCAAGATGTTTGTTACATTGCTCTAGATCTTTTTAACAAATGGAACTCTTTGAGAAGTATCATTTGGAGTATTTAAACTGAAGAGTCAGAAAGCTTTGTGCCATATGTTCTTTATAAATCTAGGGCCATCCTTGAAAAGTTATTTAAAATATCAAATATCTACAAAGGGTTATAATTTAAAGTGATATGATCATATTCCTGCTGTTGGAAATGGCAGGGTGATACAATGTCAATGGGAATTGCTCAGCATAAATTGTGATGTCTTTTTGGTTTCACAGAGAGTTTTATACAGTCAATAGTGACATTTGATGACCTGAGTAACAATCCTGCAATACTGTCAGATCCCAAACTTGTTATTAGAATCAATGACAGGTATTATTTTGTATATTATCATTTTTCTTAATTGAGATACCCAGTCTTCATATTTAAGAACTTTTTCTCTTCACATCATGCCTTTTTGTTTGAAAAAGTAATTTATAACTTTTTCAAACTGTCTGATTTACATTTCTTTAGCTCCGAAAATTTGAAGATGAATCAGTCAGTTTCCACAAGTGGATGAATTGCTTTATTCTTACCTGTAGGCCTGACATTGTGATAATCAGTTCTTATTTCAAGGAATTGCTTAGTAGCCACCCCTGGGAGTGAAAAGGTTATGGGACACAATTAACTTTTTCAGCATTCTTCTCCACATGAGATTTCAATTGGTTATTGGAAAACTGTTAGCAGTTGTTTTAAAAAGTTTGGGCTACCTGTGATGGATTAGATGGATTCAGAGGGCATTTTCTTTATCACCAGTTTAGCTTGGAGGTCATTGTAAGCCATGTTTGTAAGCCTCTCATACAAAAATTTATGAAGTTGTTTATTAACCCTTTGACCAAGACAGAATTTCTCCCAACAATATCTGTATCAATGCAATATCAAGCAGACAAGTGATAAGATTATCATACATTAGACTTGCTAAGAAAACTCTGCTTGGTTGAGAGTAAACAGTCAATCTACAGTAGCATGTGAAGTTGATGGGATAACCCAATATCTGCAGTGGATGTTGGGTTATCATGCTGAGTTCAAAGTCTGTCTAGTTGCCAACCCCATTGTCCGTGTAATGTTCTCAAACTTTGGCAAACTCAGAGAGGAGTGTCTTCTTTTGCAGATTGTTCAATAAATGTATAATAAAACATTTATTGAGTTTGGTTTTTTTGCATGATTTCAAACCTCGTGTCTGCGTTATCTGCCTCAGTATTCAGCTTCGGCAGATAACTTAGACCTCAGTGCTGATAATTCATGATATCGTGCTCAACCTCATCCAATAATTGCTTGATAATACCATACCAAATTCTCTAAAGTATCATTATAAGAAGTGTATGGCAAAGAGTAAGGAGAATTAGAAATAAGATCTTGGAAGTGAATGGGTTTATTGACTGTGTACACCTGTTTGTGCAATATAATGTCTTTTTAATATACTGAATAACCTTCATTTGTGTGCAGATATTACAACTGGCAGATTGCTGCTCCCATGTTGATGTCTCACGTTGTTTTCCAAAGACCCCTTCGACAAGTAAGAGTTTGGTTGAGTTCAAAAGGGCAAAATCAATTCCCAACTCTATGATATTTTATGGTTTATTACATCCACTCTGACTGGCTTTCAGTTGTCTTGATGACACTGTCAGAGTGCTAGACTGTATTCGCTGTACTTGCTTATTGCTGTTGTATGGAACCAATTGAAGCTATTATTTTCTTTAGGCTTAGTTTCTCAATTCAAGCTATTGTTTTCTTTAGGCTTACTTTCACAGTTGCTTTTCATAGTTATGATGATCTTTCATTTTTCAAAGTCTCTATTATGCTGGTGAAATATGAGGTTAAATATTTTTTGTTTGGAAAAATATAACACACAAGAGAGGTTTCACAGTTGAAATTTTCTTTACAGGATACATGCCAGTCCCTGATAAAACAACATATGCCAAAGAAGGTGAGGACTAAGTGAAAGTTGGTGTGAAGTGATTCACATGATTTGCATGTTTTTCAATTCAAAGTTTGCTCTAGGCCCTTTGAATGGTGTCTCAGTACTGGGAAGTGTCCTTGTACTTTTGTTTCATTTTCTCTCTTAAAAGGACTTAATGATGTGATCATACAAGGCTTTGATTTAATAAACTTAGCTACTACCTTGGACAGTGAAATAATTATATTTTAACCTTTGGGCATCAAATACAGTGTATAACGATAAGTTTGGGTTAAAAAGCCTATTTATTACTTCAATGTAAACCAAGCAGTGACAAATTCAAAAGACTGAAGAAATAGCTGACTGTACCCCAAATGCGCATATTGTAATGAGTTCAATTGCACGTGCTTATGTTTGCTGCTTCTATATAGCCAGATAATTAATGCTGGCATACTTCAAACAGTATTTTGTCACTCAGTGCATCTGTAATCAACTCTTCTTTCCTTTTTTCTTCCCAGGAAAAAAGAAGAAGCTATTGGTTTTCTTGGAGAGCTAATGAGGAGAAGGTAAAACAAAATTAAACTTATGTGACTTGGATGTTGTCCACCTTTAAGCAGCTCTTGTAAATTTGTGATCTACTAAGGGGTAAGAAAAACCATTAACAAAAGCAGTGGTAAATTGTGCCATTCACTTTTGCACTCAGTGTTACTTGCCTAATGATGATGTTGCTTGTAAGTATCTGCACCTCATACCTGTGTAAAATATTTCAGAGTTCAGACGAAGAGAATGAAGATATAAAGAAGGATAAGCCACGCCCAAGGGTGCATAGTAGTGGTGCAAGAAAACAAATGTCTGCCCCAGAGATGGAAAGGGAGGAGGATGACAATGAAAACAGGGCAAGAAAAGTATCTGGGTGCATCAGTGGCAATGAATCAGATGCATCCCCTAAGGAGAATTACAGGAAAGTCACAAGGTTATCCTCTGAACAAATTGTGAGTACCTCTGAGATTTAGCCAGTTGCCATTTCTTTTAATGGAAAAATACTATTTTGCATGCAACATCATTGTTGCACTTTGCAACTAATGAAGTTGAGTCTCACTTATTTTCTTTGGTGGCATTTCGACTGAAATTCCACATCTGCCGGAACTGTAAACATCAGCTCATAATCAATCAACTGGTTAATGAACTTTTTCATAATGAAGAAACAGTGGAAGATGATTTACTATTTCAAAGGAAGTTACATGGTCTAGAAATGTGATTCAGAGAAGAAATTATACTCCCTTATCAGTGCGCAAATCTTTCTTCTCTATAGATACTACAAGGCCCTTTTTTTTGCTTAATAAGAAATAAACTTTCTGCTCCAACCAGTATAACTGAAGTGTGTTATAATACCAACCTATGAAATGCTTTAACTCACTTTAAGTTTCCTTTATGTACATAGTTGTAGCACTGTAAGAAAGTATTTTTTTGTTTGATGAAAGCCTGTGTGGCAAAATGTCTTGCACAAATATGAGATGTCTACTGAGATTCTTGTGGACTCTCAAAGCATTAATTCCATAGGTTAAAAAATTCATTTCCATTCTCAACAGGCAAGTTTGAATCTAAAAGAAGGGGCAAACAGTGTAACATTCTCTGTAACCACAAAATACCAGGTACAGTAGTGTTTATGTAAGTATTCTTTGAAATTTACACTCATCTTGGAAAGTTTATGACATGGTTTAAGTGCATTTTGTGTATTTTAGGGCACTGCGATGTGTACAGCAACCATCTACCTATGGAATTTCAAAGATAAGATTGTTATTTCTGACATTGATGGGACAATAACCAAGTGAGTCCCTCTAAAAACTGTAGTAAATGTATTATGATGTTCAAAAACTTTGTAGTTTTTAAGCATTAAAGCTGGAAAGCTTCTTGAGTTACTCCAAAAAGTTGATGACTTATGATTGGGGCCCAGTTGTTCAAAGGATGGATAGCACTATCCAATAGATAAATCTCTATCCAGCAAATAAATGTTAACAAAATGTATAGCATTATCCCCATGGATAGAGATTTATCCAGTAGATAGAGTTGTTCGGCCTTTGAACAAATGGTGCTGGGTTGTCAAAAAATTATTCCCTGTTGTAGAGAGCAGTTCCTTTGGGGACTACCCTCACCCAAACGATCAGGCTAGAAGATGACTGTTTCTCCCATGCCCCAACCATGTATTGTAGTATCTTCATTAATAACTCACTCCTACTGCAGGTGCAGTTGGCTAGATCAATATCGTTTGGTCACTCGTTGCACTGTGTTCTTTAACAGTATATTCAACTTGACAATAACTGATTGGCTTAAAGGCCAAAAGAAATACTGAAACCTCAAATTACATTTTGTTGGAAATAGGTTAAACCTCTTCCCCCCCACCCCTTCCCCCACCAATGTTAGATAGTAGCAGAATAAAAGCTGTTGACACAACATTGTATAGGGATGTGGAGGCGCAAAATGCAAAGAGAGTGAAGTTTTTCAATGCTTTTGGCCAAGATCGTAGGTCTAGCACTACCTTTGTGTTCAATGAAAGAAAGAAAGAAAGAAAGGAACTTGATTTGTAACGGGCAGGAAATGGAACATGAAATGAAACAAAGAAAATTCATTGAACTCCGAGACTCGTTCAAATTTCAAGACTACTTGATTTTGTTGAAAAGTACGTTTGTTACTATTACCGATTGTATTATGATCGATTTTCTGTGGTTATCTTTTTAATTATATGTTAGATCTGATGTATTGGGTCAGATTTTGCCAGTGGTGGGACAAGCTTGGGCTCAGTCAGGGGTGGTATGTATTGATATCTATGTAGTCTATGACGTCAGTTTATTTTTGTGTGAACAGTAGGAATAAAAAACGCAGACGTTCATCAACTTGAGGATGTACTTTGATGTCAGTAAAGCGAATTCCCTTAGCCAGTCATTTCCAAGGATAGCTCTTTTGGTCCTGTGAAAGGAGAATATTTGGAAAATAATCCGGTACGGTGGAGAAAAAAGATGCAAAGTGGTTTATCTTGTATTATTTCAGGCTCACTTCTTTTGTAAGATCCAGAAGAATGGTTATAAAGTTCTTTACCTGTCAGCTCGAGCTATTGGACAGGTATGATTTGTTAATTTGATTTTCTTTAAGCTTATGCATACAATCTTTTCTACTTTTCAGAAGTGATTTTCGCTGTGAATGAAATGGTTTTACCAGGAGTTCTGTAGCTCACTATCATCGGTGCAGAAGTATCATAAGCTTTTTAAAGTTTATTCAGTGCAGTTGCATGTTCTCTCGATCTTTGAATTTTCGACTCGGGTATTTCGAACATTCGTCTCCAGTGAATATGCAACGAGGAAGTTACCTAGGTCGTTTACGCAGCTCGAATGATTTAAAAAATGTCGACTTTTTATGAACATTTAGGCACAGCAGACCAGAGACTACCTGAAGAGTGTAAAGCAAGATCAGCTGATGTTACCTGATGGACCGCTTCTCCTGTCACCTGAATCGCTTATCAAAGCTTTTCACAGGTATCAAAGCAACATTCAAATACAACAGCAATAAAAAATTGACCTGGATCGAGAAGCACTTCGTAGTGCTGCTCACTAACCATACGAGGAAAATCGAGAAACTCCTTCCTTTCATTTCATTTGGTTTCAATCAAACAGCGTTTGTACGCATTGCACGTGGCATCGAGATTCTTTTTCTTTTTTTATCAATTTGTCTTTATGTCTCAACTTGAATATCTTTTCCGTATTGTAAGGTAGTTTCCTTCGCAGGCGTTGTGTCATCTCGTCACCAAACGTGGCAGACGAGAGGGTGTTGTGTGACGAAACCAAACAACAGCTTTTAACGAGACAATCTGTGCGGCCGATTTCGTTTTTGAAACAGTATTTAAAAGAAATTGTTTTGTTTTGTTTTGTTTTTTGCCATTTTTCAGAGAAGTGATCGAAAAGAAACCAGAGGAGTTTAAGATTGCCTGTTTGAGAGACATCCAAAGCTTGTTTCCAACAAATAGAAATCCTTTTTATGCTGGATTTGGTAATAAAGTTAATGTAAGTGTATTTAGTTTAGCAGCTATAAAATTGATCTTTACTTTGATTTGGTGAGACTTGTTTACAATTGGTGAATTTCCTTGGACCGACAACATATAATCTTTGTTATAGTAGAAGACATGCACTAATTAAGGAACCCTGGCGAGTAGCGCAAGAAATCGTAAAACTATTACTACATGTTGTAGATAATTTAAAAACGTAATAAAATTAGTACCTAGTGCGGGGAAAAGAAAAGCAGACACCAAGCGCGGCCGGGAAAACCATAGCATTGGTACCTACTTTGGGTAAACTTGGAATTTGCTTCAAATACGGGAAAACATGAAGTAAAGGCAGATGAAGTGATACAAATAACACCGTGTGTTTTAAATAGTACTTCCTGGTTTTTATTTTTTATGGCGATGCAATGGCAAATGCGCGTTAAATTGACTTATCAATTTTCCACTTAGGACGTTCTTTCCTACCGTGCAGTCGGAATATCTGTGTCTAGGATTTTCACTATAAATCACAGGGTAAGTTTTATTTGGATCTTCTTCTTCTTCAAGTTTGAAACGCCCGACCAACGTCGGAGCCCCACCAACATTTAAGTCCGAGTCACATTCGAGCCCATGGAAAGTACACCAGAATCACTCATAAGCAAGCCGGCTCGTTGCTGAGAAAGTAACCAAAGACATCATAGGGACATTTTTCCCCTCGAATCTACCTTTAATGGGCTTTTTAAACCCTTGTTGAGATCATTTAAGCAAATACTTTTTTTTGAGCTTAATTAGAATATTATTGCTTTTTGTCTGCGATTGTCTCCACCGCTACGTTGAAAGGAAAGTCTGTAGTAAAAGCAAGAGGAGAGAATATTTAACGTCTGCCAACGGCTCGTTCCATAGTCTAGTGGAAAAACGAACGCCAAAAGTAACACGAATGGTAAAAGAGTCTTCAATTATTAATGGCTTTCATTATGTTATCTTTACCAGGGTGAAGTGACACATGACCTCACCTCTGCTTTTCAAACGTCGTGAGTATTTTTTTTAACTGGAAAGAGGGCCGCAACTTCTTAACCCACCTGTTTTGTCAGTTTAGTAGCCCTTCTCTTTCCTCCCCTTCACCCCCCCTTCCTATCCCCCATCGTCCCCCTTCCCCTTCTTCCCCCCCCCATCATTGGATAATCATGGGTTCCTAATGACTCGGTGAACAAGTCAGATTTCCAAACAAGGGACATGGTGCCGGCACAAAACAAAACGCAAGGAAAGTTGTAACGTGCGCGGGGGGCTGGAATGCACCTGCGTTGGAAGCTGCGTGAGAATATGCTGATATGAATCAAAGAAATTACTTGTTGGTGTCTGTCAGGAATGAATAGGTTAAATAATTATTTGGTTTCCTTCAGGTACATCAAACTTAGTGACTTGGTGGACCAAATGTTCCCGCCATTCAAAATGGAAGATCTTCGTCCAGCGGGGCTGATAGCACCAGACCAATTTAGTTCTTTTACATATTGGAGAGCGCCACTTCCAAGGATCTCTATGGATGAACTTAGCGATGCTGATGGGGACGGAAGTCAAGGGACAGTTTCCAACCAAATATAGAGTTCAACATTTAGACGGTACGGAATTTATGCACAACGTGTTTGATACAATGCAACAATTTTTCGTTTCAATTTTTCCAGATCCGAAGAAGCAACGTTTATAGGTGGTTATAAATTAACTGAGATACTACGAGCGCCCTGATTGTAAAAACCTATCGCTCATTGCATGTTAAAAAAGCAATAAACCACACTTTCCATCAGTTTACCGCTGTAGAAGCCCGCTTGCGTGAGTTACTACGACAGTAAACCGATAGCAAGTGCGGCCTATTGCTGAAATAGCTTTACCTTGTGTGGCATGTGAAGTCATACATTATATTTCCCTCTGCAAATGTGTCCAAAGGATAAGTGGACACATGTTACGACGAACAATTTCTGAGCGATAATGTTCTGGAAATGAAATTTGCAATAATCATTGAAGTAAACGGGCGAGTTTAATGAAAAAATACTCTTTTGCAGGTAGACCAGAAAATATGATTGTAAAACAACAAATGCTGAAACCCATTAATTGTAAGGTATTATGGTTATTTCTTTATTTTCTTAGCGTATTTAAATTTTTTTGTAAAAATAGGTAAATTTGAAAATTTGTTAAGGTTAGAAACTAATTGAAATTTATACCAAATCTAATACGATCCTGATGGTTTTTATGTTCACGTTAAATTATTGTGTAAATTAAGTTTAGGTGAAAATTTTCCTGTTATGAAAGAATTGTGTTTATAGATATTACAAAATTATTGTAAATAGCATCAACTAGGTTTTATTATGATCCATAGATATGACATTTCCTCAGCCCCATTACCACTTTAGCTGCGTATTTTATACTCGTCTTTTACTCCCTTCTTAGCTGATTTCTCGCTATGCATTAGAGCTGGGTTTTATAGTGAATAGTTTTGCTGGATGTTGTTTATCAAGCGAAGCTCTCGATGTTGTTGACATACAGACAAGTGAATTTTACTGACATTGAAGCAGTTTTCAATTGAGTGTCGATAAAAGAAAACCAAAGTTGTCAGTGACCAACGAGAACCGAGATTAACATCATCACCAGCCAATGAGGACAAGTGTAAACGGGCAAACTGCTTAAAGCGCGGGAAAAGACGAATGACCATGTCGCAATGGTGTTAAGTTTTGCATCTGATTGGTGGGAGGTTGGCGCCAGTTTTCTAGGCCAACCAAAAGCAAAGGAAATTAAACCCAGAGCAATCCCGGATTACTTTCGACCCTCAATTGAAAATTTCTCCGTATGGATATAAAACGTAGCGCAGTTTGGTCTGCTGTGAGACGTGTTTGTATTTGCTCGAATGGCAAACGTGATTATGATGAACATTTAGGTAAAATTTCTACGTTTTTTCTTTGGCACATGGGATATAAATTGATAGCCCTAAATTTGAAGAATAATTTTGAGAAGGTCATCAAAGAAAGGGACTAATATATGATTGTAAGCACCATAAGCCATACTATACCAAAAACAGAGATAATCTATCTTTGCTACATAGGTGAAGAACTTCTCCTTACGTAATACGAGTTTTTCAGTGAGGGAAATAATATGGAGTTGAATATTTAATAACCTAAACGCTGTAATTTCTGAGTTCAACGACAGTCTCCTCAGAGGGTCTCAATGAGGCGATGGCTTTAACGGCTAACAATTTTGACCATTTTGCGTCTAACGATTAAATCATCCATTGCTGTGATAAGAATTTTTTTTACGACAATTAGTTAAGATTTATCAATTGTACGCCTAACGGCTAAATGTTTTCGCCGTTTCAAAACTATCGGTTAACCCCATTGAGACCCTCTGCTCATTCTTAATCGGACTTCAGGACTGATCATTCGTCTTTAAGGAAAAGTAACATTGGCGAAGACTCTTAAAAGTCGGGTCGTCACTCTTCCGAGAGGTGCTTTGAACATCAGCGGAGCTTTAAAGCTGTAAACCTGATGGGGATTATAGCGTGAAAATATATTTAAAACAAAGCTAAACATTGACTCATTACCAATGAGTTTACTATTGTCACGTTGACGTAAAATATTTCGCGCAACTTTCACGGGATATGATTTATTGAGGTCTTTTGATTTATTTGGTTGGTTTGTCCAGCTCAGATGGCTGTATTTAAAATAATGGTGAGCTAAATGGAAAAAATATATAACTTTGTCAATAAAACTGATTTTCAAGAAAGAAATACCTATTTTATTATTCGTTGGGTTGTTGAATAAAGGATACAACCTATTCTCTCTCCTTTTTCTTCGGCTCTAAGGTTTGAGAGGGCACGGCCCAACCAAAGTGCGAAACAGAATTCCTGCGTTGAAAAACTATTTATTTCTGAGTGTAGCTCGAGTATGCCATGAGAAGTGTGTTTGTTTAAAGCTGACTGGTAGAATTTCGTTCCTGGTATATTTCTTTATTTATTAAGTGTCCATCCATTGTTTGTAATGATTCCGAGCTTTCTCAAGTTATCTGTGTCTGATTGCGGGAGTTAAGCCAGAAATAACACGACGTGTTAAGGAGATAAAAGTTATCTGTGTTTGATTGCGGGAGTCAAGGCCAGGAATATCACGACGTGTTAATCCTTTAACTCCAAGAAGTGATTAACATGTCACTTGTCCCTCAAGTCTCCATACATTATCCAGCAAACAGTCTATGACAATACTCAAACCTATTATTTAGCAGTTGTCATCTTGATTTAACACCAACATCACTAATTTACAAGGAAATGTGTAGAAGCCAGAGTGAATGATAAGCAATTGGATCATGAGAGTTGAAGGGTTAAGGAGATAAATTTCCATCCTCCATGTTGTGGAGATGGCTTCAAGGGGCGCTTCTCTATCGCCATCATTTTATCTAAGCAACCCTTATCTTCCAGCTTGGAAAGCCCCAAAGTCCACCCTTCTTGCGACTTTTGATTCGGGTGACCTTTTGAGACGGTTATTTACAGAAATTGCGAACTACTTCAATTATGAGCTGTAAATTAGGATGGGTTCCAATGGCTTATTTTCTTCTTTTTGCATGACCTAAACGAGAAGTTTTATATCCGACCGACTCTCGTGGATTTGATTCAACTAAAGTTCAGAAAATCTCCTACCGCTGTTTGGCTATAACAGATCAAAAACATATGTCCAACTTCAACTTCACGTTATGATGGTAACCAACTCCTGGAGCGGAGCGGACCGAGCTGGACCGGAACTTCCCTTTCAGAAGTTTATGAAGAGTTTTCGGTGTAACCCTTTTTAATCCTGTTTCTGTTACTGCAATGAAAGACAAAGGGTACCAAATTACATAATCAGAAATGTAATTGACTTTCTTACATCCCGCTGTTTATTCTTCATAGAGGTACCCATATCCCACTAGTCGTAAGAAAACGCTATGATCTTTCTCCGCCTAAAGCTTCCCTTGTGAATTTTAAGATGCACATAGCTTCAGTAATTTTCCGTTGTAGAGATTAGTTACCCAGGTTAGAGTGAAATTTCGCCAGCATTGGTCGACACGTGGTACAAATAAAGGGCAAAACTTTTCACTGTAAAATTCTGTTTAAAACCTTACCATTGCCAAGCAAAGCTCCCTTTACAGAAATGTTGCAGGAGTCATTACTCTTTTTATGACAGAGATTGATCCGCTGCACTCTTAACCTATACCAACTTAGGTTACAACTTGAAAAGATTTGGTACTTGCAGGTTTCATTTGTTACATAAGAGCTTTGTCCGGGTAATATTCTACTACAAATATTAAGGGGTGTCCTGCATTGTCAGTAACACCCTATATCGTTTAAGACCAAAATTGCCTCGTCTTCAGACTTCCCATACCTCATTTCAAAATGACAAAAGAGCTGCGTATAACAGAAAACACTCTCTTAATTTTGTATTAAAACTCGGACTGTTTGATTTCTCTAATTCCTTGACAGTTTCCTTGTTTCAAAGCAAAAACAGTTGATCCAGAATTTTAATCTGATCCAGTTGATACTATCAAAAGGGTAGATTGTAACTTAAGTAATAGGCTAATAAATGACTGTTTCTTCTCCAAGTTTTAAAACGTGTGTATTGATCATTCCTCTGAGGTGTGCGAGCATAACTCAGCTGCCCCTTAAATTTGCGTCTGTATGGCTCTCCTGACAAGTGACGATTTGCTGCTAGTTATTTTTAAGCAAATACATGGTTGGCGAGACCTCAGTTCTGAAGGTTCTCGAACGACCGCAAATGTCGGCTTTTGCAGTCTAAGCAAGTCTGGTTTGAGCCAGCTGTTTGATTACAAAATTAGTCTATTAAAGACCAATCGTTCATCACACGTGAACGGCGGCAGTTGAAAAAAATTTTGGAAAGTGTAAGCCTGAACTAAGTTTTGAGAATTCACCCGCTTTTGAACGTGAGCACTACATGTACCACGAACGAACCACCAACTCAGCTACTGTTTGAACCAAATTCCTATCTCAGGAATCGAAATTTACTTCGGCCTTAGTATGTAGCTTCGAGGCTTCTCATAACACCTAAATGTTATCTGGAGACAAAGACTGGAGGTCTCTCGAAACCTTCAGGTCAGCCTTCAATTCTCGGGTATTTCTGTCCCATGCTGTGATGCATCCTCGAAAACAATTTGCGGCTCTGAGAGCTGAAACCAGTAACCCTGAATTGTTTATTCTCTCCATTGAAGTGATTTACTGTATTTTTTGTATTTTGGCACTACGAAATTTAAAGCTAGATTTATAAATAGAATACACACGGAAGACCAATGTCAACTCAAGGATTTTACACGTGAATCACTGAAATGAAATATATTTCTAACCTGTGTACTGGTGCTAAATTACACCAAAATATCCATGTTCGTCTCTAATCTGTTGAGGCCAAGACTATTTTTAGACTATCTTTGTCACTTTGCCCTTTTTTCCTCTCGATGTTTGTCTAGTCCAAAATACTATTGTTGTGACTGGTAATTCAGGTTCCTTTATTCAGGCTTCTTAATTAAAATATTCACGTGCTTTTACAACATATTCACCTTTCCTTGATCGATATACAGTATGAAGATAACTACTGCTTCTCTTGTCAGATTATCTTATTTGATCTCGAGTGTGCTAGAGATGAAAGCTTGAATTGTTGTGCTGTTGATTTTGTAATGTTATTACAGTGACTGTCGATTAAAACATTGCTGGTAACAATTTAAAATGTTAATCTGATCATGTTATTCTCCCGCTAAAGCCTAAAACGCGAACCGTTCCAGTCTCTAATTCTCTCCAAATCTCGAGTTCCATCAAGGCGAGACCCCGTACAACAAAAACCTCAAAGAAAATATTGATGCTCCCATGTCAAAGTAGCTTGGCAACTATCACTGAAATATCTAAAACAGTCCTTTTTCAATTAAGAATATCCCTATTTCTATTTCGACATCAAGGTCTCGGTCTACTTTTACACGACCTTGACTGACCTTCGTAAGTGTAGCGTTTCTGAATTCCACCCGTCCTTCAATCCATTCCAATCTTCTTTCGACAAGCCGGCGTCTCTTACACACCTCCTTCCCACCCGCCTCTCCGCCCTAGTATTTATTATACGTGGTATTTACAAATATTCAAGTTTATCGTTGTTAACTTAATAAAAACAGGTCTCATGAATTGTTTAAACTTTTTTGTATTTGAGAAAGATAAATTATAGACAACAATAATTATCACAATCTTTCTAATAAACGTTGCTTAGGGTTACCCTAAATACAGAGCACGCACGCCACAGAAGCGCGAGGAAAATGTGACCCATTTAGCTCAATACGACGGACTTTTTATTGGATTACCTGTTACTGTTTGAGTGATTATGAACAAGAAATAAGTTTTTCCTCCTCCCGTTGTGTTTGGTCCTCGATTCACTGATTACTTGGCACTGATTCTTTTCACCCACAAAAATGTTCCTACGCACTCGTTACGCGTGACGCGGTTGTTGATCCCAATTATTTTGCTAAAAGCAACTTTGGATGCAAGCCAGTTCAAGAGCCGACGATTTTTTTTTCTTCTGTTCATTGTATCGTTTCGTTTCGGTTTTTGTTTTTGGCTTTTTTTTTTTATCTTGGATCTCATGCAAGCCCATATAACCAGTTTATGCGCGACTGAATCAAACACAATTCAAATTGCAGTAGATACGTTCGTTGTGCTTTTCCACATCTGCAATTATCATTGTGAAGTAAAGTTGACTGTTTTTATTCGCGTGACAAACCCCACAAAAAGGTGACAAGCAAAAATGAGCTTAACTCTAATCTCGTGATTCCCATCTTATCCTTTGCTTGAGAGCGTCAATATTATCTGCAACAAATGCACTTTTCCGTTGTAAACCATTTGTTCTAAACTTTTGCTTCAATTAGCTTGTCATCATTATTAAATAATTGCTTGCTTGCAGCCATTGTGATTTGGTGTCGCTCGGTGTAATTTACATAATTTGCCATTACGCGCGGAGTAAACAACTGCTTTGAAATAATTTAGTTACACCTGGTACGTGACTATGTGAGACGATCCGTTTGAAATCACCAGGAAATATCGGTTGATTTATGACAGATGGCTCTTGATAAGCATACTTGCATCACTGTACTGTTCAAAATATATATTAGCCTCGTAAAAGATGCAAGCATAACAGGTTATTATTGTTTTGAGTACAGGCATGTTTCCTCAACAACATCTGCTTCGTGTTCAGGTTCTCCTTTCACATTGTCTCTTTTGGAGTGTTTACAACTTCCCGAAACTTGGTTGTCAGTTAGGTTTTAATCTTCACCCTTCGCCTTCTTACGGGAATATCGTGTCAAATTTCACACCCTCAGGGTAAGGTTGACTCTCGTTTGGTCCCGTGCCATATTATCCGGCTCAGATGGGTTGAAGCTCGCTAGAAAATTGATACCTCTCGCTTTAGACGAGCTCATATCTCTTACTCAAACATCTGGTATTTCACTGTTAATATATGAGCAATTTTAAACATACTTATATTTTCGTGGTTTTCAAGACCGTGAATATCTAGTGTTCTGAACAGCTTAAGGTATTTTGTTTAGTACTCAGAAATCGCGATATCTGCCTCGGATTTTGATTTGTGCGGCCAATATATGTTTTCGAGAGGTAAAAAAAGCTTTATACTTAAAATAAGATTAATTTTTTCCACAATGTAAGATCAACACGCCAGTTCTCAGCCAGAAAGATCTCACAAAAACCCTTCGTGGAAGGCGAGCAGCTTATTTCAGGAGTTAAGGTAAACCGGAAAAATAATGTGCAACTGACGAGGAAAATACTATTGTTTTCATGCAGAAATAACTGCAAGTTTTGATTTTCAAACAACAGTCGGGTAAACCTGAAATGTTTGCAAGACTAGTTTGACATTATCTACTAGAAATAATTGCTGTGGCGCCGAGGTGCCGGCCAAATATGTGACAGATCAGTTCTGTCAACCAATAGTACGATTTGTTTTGCAATTTTTGACACCTCCCCTCTGATGTTGACCAATCACACAGCAGGGTTTTCTTTGAATGTCTAGCGAAGAAAGTAACTGATGTCACATGCTCGGGTCCGCTTTCAAAGCATTTTTTTCCTCACTAGAAAACAATTTCAGGACTGGCAGATTTTCGAAACCTGTTCGGTTCGGAGACGCTTCGTAGTTAAATTGAACTTATTTTCGAGGCAGAACAAAGAGGGAACGATTCCCCGTAGCAAAGGTTTAGAACGTGACTGAGATACTTCGGAAAGCTCAAAATGTAAACAAAGCTGCTTGAATTGATTCAAAAATAGCAACTTGCATTAGCCAATCACACATTCCTTAAAATTTATACAACCAATGAAAGATTGCATAGTATTTGGTTGGGAAAATTGACAAATCAAGTTTTCCAATCGATTGGAAGAAGGTAGACTCCCATCATCCGCCCCCCAAAAGTCCTCCGTAAAAACAACAACAAAGCATTTTCGTTCGGCGAGTGTCTAATTCGGATAAGTGTTTACCGATTTCGACTTTTCGGGCGAAATTATTTAAGTTCTGATCAAAATTAGGCGAATCACTTCACGGAAGATAGGGAGAAAATTATGCTGCTGTCGAGAAGGCGACCGAAAAATTCGCTTCTTGGAGTTCGTGTCTGCGCTCCTTGGAAGGATGGATTCTACTATTCCGGGATAATTGAGGCGGTCAAAAGCAAACCTACGGGCGAAAACACTTACACCATTCTGTTTGAAGACGACTACATTGCTGAAGTGGATGAAGGAGAAATTGTGGGACCAGGATTCAGAAGCATCGGAGCTTCCTCGTTAAAAACTGGTCAACATGTTTACATCACGTACAAGAGTCGCGAAGTTGGGGCCCGTGTACTTAAGATTCGTTCAGAGTTCAACGAAGTTTTGGTTCAAATTTTGGACCAACACGAAACAATTGTCGCTGTGAGACCGAGTGAGATTCATCTGATGAAAGGGCAACGGTATTCCTCAGTGCCTATGGAACTCAAAGGTAGCAACGGTACAAGTTCATTCGTATCGAGCCCGGTACCCTGCAAGATGAGAGCACATGGAATACACTCTTACGAGTAAGTTGTAACTCCAAAAGGAAAATCCGAACATTTACTCTCACATGGTGCTTTTTCGTATTCGAGTACCTCGTTTACTTCTTCGAAACGTTTAGGTTAATGGGAGGGAGTTTTATTTCTACTTCTAAGGTTCTCAGAACGACGTCCTGTGATATTCCTTTGTTTAAAATTCTTAAGGCTTAGCTCGTTATTCACGTCCATCGATTAAAGCCGTTTTTTTTTTTTTTTCAGTGGATGCACCAACCGACAAGAAAACGTTACCAGAAGTGAAGAAATGGCTGCACTTGTTCTTACTGCTCTGTCAATCTCGCCGGTTTTCAAAGAAGCGGATCAAAGTAAGTGTGCAGTTTCTGCTTCCAGTAATTATTTGATTCATTGTACCATCGATCGTAAGCGATCGGAACATATTTGCCAATCGGCACATAAAGCCGTTTTTCCTCGATACGGTCCTTTTTCTCCGCTTTACGGCAGTGATCACACCAATTTTTGCCTGATTCTATTCGTGATAAGTTTGTTTCTCTTTCCTACTTTCAGCGGACGAAATGTTTCTTAGCTTTCCTCCAACTCCTGACTCAGGATCCGAGATGGCCGCATTTTCGAGCCCGGGAAATTCACCGCTCCGTTCGTCCTCGCCGGTGCACCCGAATGACTCGAACTTCTTCTTTAGTGGTCCACCCTCTCCGGTTGACGAAGGAATCGGAGTCGATATTCAAAAACAAGAAAACACCCGCAAAAGAAAGGTAGGGAAATTTTTGGGCCAACTGAAAATGAAAAAGAAGTTAAGCAGAAGTCCCTCCTAATTTGGCGGTTTTGCCGATCTGGCGTAAAAGATTGCATCAGCATCTAGATTATAATTCTACTCCCGTGGACAAGCTGATTGAAACTGTGATTCTCTCAATTCAAGTTGAGATATGTATTTTTAGGGGGTTTCTGTTGATTCTGTGTGGAGTTGCAAAATCTAAGGTGTGCGTTAAATCACGCAACGGTGAATCCGTCTCGTGTTGCTGTTTGTTCTATATTTGTTCCGTCAATTCTCGGTTCTCGTATTGACTCCAGTTTTTTAGCATCCAATGTCGTCTATGTAGTTGTAATTGCCAGTATTTAAGGAAAAAACATTACATATTTTCTTATTTATTTCCATTTCGTTTTTAGACTTCTACCTCTTCGAGTTCAAGCGTGAAGACATTGTACAAATGTACGTGGCCGCGATGCGGGAAAACCCTCTCCACCGCCCCCGGAATTATCAGACATGTTCGAACAATCCATCTCGGGTACGCTTTGTTATTTTACACGCTTTGGATGGATGTGTGTTTTATATTTTACTTGTAATACGTTTTCTTTTTCGCCTCCACATCACGTTATGTTTGTTAGGAGTGAACTGAAACGGTATTAATTATGGGTATCTTTAGCCTGCTTTTGAAGATTGTATTTTCAACTTAATGCACAAATAAAACAACTTCAATTTACAATGGCCCCGGTTTTTCAATTTTGAATTATGAAATCGGTTCTGTCCTGTCAGCAAATAGCTGAATACCTCGGCATTGATTTATAAGCGACGTTACAGACGCTTTATCTTTGCCAAATTTAGCTGAGGAATGTTTTAATATCTTAGAGTTTTCCTGTTTATCTTATCTTTTTTCTGTGCGTTTCAGGCCTAAACGTTCGACTGAGGAAGGTTACAGTGACGGGGAAGAAGACTTCTACTTCAACGAAATAGACTTAGAAGAAGACGACTACATGAACGATCATGTTTTCCCAACACCGCTTGCACTGTCACCAACACCAACTCAGTCTCATTTCGACATGGTGAAGAACCCGTGGACCGAACCAGGCGCTGAAGTATCACCAAGTGGATGCGGCTCGCCACAACATCCGCGCTTCAATTGGGATGCTTCGGCAATCACAAGTCTCTCGACCTACCTACCTCCGTCGAAGGCGAGCAGTGGCAAGACCAGCCCATCCAGGGTACAGCACAATTCCCATCTTCACACGCATCGCAAGGTACGCGGAGAGAGCAAAAAATGCCGAAAGGTGTACGGAATGGAGAACAGACATCTTTGGTGTACACAATGCAGATGGAAAAAGGCTTGCGTACGATTTGCAGACTAGAGAACTGAGCAAACTTTCATAATTCACTTCACCATGCAGATACATATATTTATAGCTTGTTCGTAGCACACGGTTAGCGTGTCATAAAATGAATGGAAAACGTGTATAAAGATTGAATATTTTATTAAAATCGTTATATTTTTATAATCGCAGTCGATAGGTGCTACACATCTTCTGCGAGGAAAGAGAAGAGATTCGGTCGTTTGGCATTGATTTAAAAAATTCGACGAAGATTAGTGCATGGTGCAAAAATATTTTACGACTCGTTCAGCTTTTGGACATAACATACTCTAGAGAAACATTTGTAATCTTGTGTCTAACATGGTAATGTATTGGCACCGAACTAAACTTTATTATATTATATGTATAAACGAAATGTCTGGAGGGTGGAAAGAAAGCATTTCCAATAAATTTGAGATGTGGGTTTGATAACAGCTTATGTAGTCCTTCATTGAATGCGTGTTATCAGGCGAAGCGAAAATTATATTTTTTTAACCACTTATTACTCTAGTTTTGGACGAATTTTATTGTGAAATTAATAGGTTAAACCAACTCCTCAGAAATGCGGGGAAGAGGCCGCTACCGGGTTCGTTCCGCTCATTCGCGTGATCGCTTACTTGGCGCTTGGCCAATAAACCATGCGGCTTCGACTGCACGTGCCGAAAGAATCGTGCGAGAGGTGAAAGTTGAAAATGCGATGTGAAATGACTTGTCTGTGCAAGAACATCAAAATTATCAACTTTGAGAGCACTTTTGAGAATGATTTACGTGAAATTTCCATTTGCTTCATCTTGTTAATACAATAATAATAATACAAATTGTCGCCGGAGTTGTTTATCTCGAATCCTAACTTTTGTCCTGTGAGGCCTCTGCCCTTTAACATGTAATACGATCGCTGATTGGTTGCTTTAAATACCTCGCAATATTATCGTCTTTGTTTTCCGTCAATCAATCGTGGTTTGATATGACATTTGAATAAATTGTAATGACCCAGACACACTGATAATTTATTCTAGTCATGTCCCAATAATTTTCGGCCTATTTTTCGGCAATATGAAGATATTTCAGAGACAGTGTGAATGAATTCGAATAAATGTTTAGGAAATACATCATTTCAGGGCGATTTTTTTGCTATAGGAAATATTTCAATGCGGCGACAGTCGTAAACAACTTAAGTAGGTTGGATTTGATTGGCTTACGTTGGAGGTGTGTCCCTTCCGCTAAAGGAGCAAAACAATGCACAACAGATCTTTGAATAAAGCCGGTGTTTAAAATAGCTCCTACGGCTCTTGAAAACAGAGTACCGCGCCGGCTGAAAAAACAAGCATCCAAACAAAAGGCTAAGGAAACCTGTTTTTATGCTAAAATTTTCAGTTTTACTTGGTTTTTACTTGCAATATTTCATAGAGTACATACTGTTTTTCAAACAGTTATGCTTAAACAGGCCCCTCTGAGTGTCAGTGATAAGATGTCATGTGATGTTCACAGGATGGATATTGTAGAACAAATTCTATCCCTTGTGAATTGCCTCCTAGCAACTTTTTAGTCGTTCTTTGTCTCTGTAGTGTACTTTTTTAGACAAACGAAGATAACAAGCTTTAGACATGGTATTGTCGGCATCTCGCCTAATACGAAAAGATCTCTTCACATAATGTATTTTTTCCAGTATTGTAATCCGAGAACTTTATTGTTATGTATTACTCACTGTGGCTGTTTCGACTGGTAGGGGTCTCATGGTTAGTGTAGTAGATCACATGTCATGTGGATGACATTTACGTTTTTTTTCTCGAGCTAATTTCGTTATTTCTATGAAGTTTAGAGCATGAAAGAGGTAACAAACTTTACCAAATGAGCACCAAACATTAAACGGAAAAGACAAGTTAAAAATAACACAGGCTTAAGAGGGACAGAGCGAGAGACTGGACACTACATTTCCGATCAAAAACAGTAGGGCGACATGAAAATTTAAGGAAGAAAAGCAATCGATGAGGGCTATGGTTTTGAATCTGCATTTAAGCGATCAGATGTCAAGGTAAGATACTCACTTGAATGAAATCAAGGATCTAAATTGGTCGATTGTGTAAAATCTACACGTGTTTAAGATGATGTTCACATGACTTGTCTTGGTAGTTGATGTTCCTGTTTATGCAAAGTTCTCTGCTAAAACTAGCACAGCATTGTTTCTAATCTTGGCGGCTAGAGCTATGGCAGATTTTCACTGCTTCTTTCGAGACAAACAGTGCTTTTCTTAGTGGTGTCAATTTTGTCTGAGTTTCTTTTGTCTTCGATAAAATCGCATAATTATGTATAGTACCTAAACTTGGCAGCAGTCACGTACTCTCGGCACGTACACAGCGACACCAGCTAAAAACTGTAATTACAAAGTTTTCCAGCTCTCACCTTGATCAAAGATCAAACGACCCAATTCGAGTCAGAATGTTCTTATAAGACTGGGAAATAATTTTGTCGCCATGCATTTTGATTGCTTGTAAATCGCAAAAACTTATCCGTGACAAAGTGCCGGCCGGCTTTTTCATCGTAGACAGTCACATGTAGGGGTGTGGAACTCGTGCTCATGGCCTACACATATGCATTCATTTATCAGCTTAATTTTTGTCTTAAAAATAGAAAATTGCTGGTGTTAAAAGTCTTCTCTTCTTAAAACTAGTAAAGGAAAGAAAATGAGAATTCCCAGGAGCCCATTATGAGCTCCTAGATTGAGCAATTCCATTGAGAGAAACATCACTCTTCGAAAGGTCTCTTTTTGGTGGATAATTTTATTGGACTGAAAAAGTATTCGTCAGTAACTTTAGATGCATACAAACTAAAAGATCCAAAACAGAAGTTGAAATTCATAATCCTTGAGCTCGCTGAAGTCTATTCTCAATTTCCACCATCTAGACGATCTTTCACGCTTTTCATGTGTTAAAGCCAGGGAAGGAAAATTGCTTTTATCATATGTTGAGTTCTCAGTTTCAGTTTCACCAGCAAAACATAAGAAAAAGAAGAAAAAAAAAGATTGGTTGTAAAGGAGAAAAAAACCAACTTTACTTTAACCACAGAGGTGTTTGCGGAAAACCGCACTCATACACAAGGCGATAAGAACCCTTGAAAACGGTGATATTTTTTTTAGTCCTGAGTATACATTGTTCTCTCTAAATCGCACTTGAAGCTAAGAAAGCGAGCTTTGTTAAACTTTCAGAATTCATTTAACTCAAGGATAGGGCTCACGCAACAGGAGATACGTTTGAATACGTGCTTGTCAACGAAATCATCATTAGAGCCAAATTAACACCACACATGAATGAGAGCCCATTGATCTCGTAATTATTATTAAAAAAAACTGCTCTATCATACAATATCAGCTCAAGGGGTAGAGCACGCTTTGTTGTCTGTCTGACTAAAAAAAAAACGTGACAGACCTCAGCATCATGGTCTTGCTGGATACAACATTATAGTCACGATCACTGTTTCTTGCTTTGGCCTGTAGTTTAAGCATTTTAGGAAGAAATATTGTGGTCTGATGTTAAAATCGTGTGCATACATATCGTGTGTGTGGTTGAAGATGTACACAAACTACCTAAATAATGACAGAAGAAAACAAAGCTCCTGCTTCATTATCACTTTTTATCAGCATGTCATTGTGCGTTCGGCTTTGCCCTAACCAAAGATTGAGAAGTTGCAGAAAAGCACGCTTCTCGCTGTCACATAAAAAACCTAAAAAAGATTTTGATCCTTCATTCTTTGGGTCTAATAATGATATGTTCAGGAACTAACAATGCAAAATCGACGGTCCTTTGTTGAGTCTTGTTGTAAGGTGAACGCTCAACCTCGCCCCCTCCCGTCCTCTTTAAATAATGGCCCCCTGAACCACGTCAAACGATCACTGACTCAAGGGTCTTATATAGATGACGACCATATCTTCTGAATAGACCTGAATTGATTTTTTCGCCGCAACTCTCGTCTCGACAGTCTGAAAAACTGGGCTTATCAGGATCATACAGGCGATTGGGACCATACAGGCTATCAGGACCATACAGGCGATCAGGACCATACAGGCAATCAGGACCATACAGGTGATCAGGAACATACAGGCGATCAGGAACATACAGGCGATCATATGGAAAAGAGGCTTAATAGTTTCATTTCTCAACCTTTTATTTATATTTGGTTCATCTCTAATCTCCGGTTTGATGGCGGAAGGTCTGCTAAACTAAAAAGCTGCATTGATGTTTCAAGGATATAATGTTATTTTGTTTACTCTCTCATTCTAGGGTTTTTCCGATAGTATTGAAAGTTCTTGTTCAGTCTAAGGCGAACAAGGTGAAGCAAATACTTCGCTGCGATTGCATCTTACGCGAGTTTTCCGCTTGGGTTTTTCAGCTGATTTGTTTCCACGAAAGCAAAATCCTGTGGTTACAGTCATAAACTGCTTCTTGTCCAAACAAATGCAATCAAGACGAGTGGATGTAGGCCACTGGTCGTCCTCTTGGGTCGTGGGATTGCCACTTTAACAAGCACGATCGATAAAGAGTAAATAAATATTTCTTTCTGCAAAATTCCCTTTGAAATCTTTCACTCAAACTTCACATAATTTCTATGCTTCCATTATTTTTCCTCATTTATTCTCCGCTGTTATATAAGAAACATCTTTAAGTTGCACGTTCCGCGATAATTTCCGGATCTTATAAAACCACAAATTTAAAACGATCCGGGTCACGTATGTGAATTTCCTAAATGAATACAGTTTATATTCAACGTTTGTTGATATGTGCCAGTCGCAGACCTGATGAACAACAGCTCGAGATGACGTCCAGCACGTTTATTTAATCGCTGAGGATTAAATAGGCAGCAAAACGTGGAAACTTTTGTTTACTTTTTTAAATATTTGACAAGCATTTCAGTCTTAGTGTAGAGTAACACTATCAAACCCTATTAAAATTATAACAACTAGTTTGTAGAAGGTCCAAGTCTTGAGTTAGCAGTAGCCTTCGTTTTACATTAGTATTTATACGCCAAATTATAGCTCTAGGTATTTCTACAAGTTAAGATACCGGCGCATGCGTTTGAGGAAGTTTCCACAGATTTTGATCCATCATAGTTAATCATTTTTCATTTCAAGTGGGACATCAGATGCTCCTTTTCAATTTCTCTCAATTACAAGCTAAGCTGAAAAAGCTGCCCCTTAAAGGACGGTTGTAAGATAGACACTTCGCGTGTTCTGTTTGTTTTTCTTCAATTTGGTGATGCGAGTAAAAGACTAAAAGAGCAGCATATTCTCACGTTACAAACTTTGAACCTGATGTTGATTGTACATTTGTTAAACCACGGGTAGACCACGTTATGTGATCGCGGTTGATTATTGTTGACATGAGACGAACAAAATTTATGGTGGTTATTAATGAAGCTCTGAAAATTGCATATCTAAATTATAT